CCACGCCTCTACAAGAGCTTACACATTCAGCTACTGCGTGCCAAACCTGTCAATCCCAGCAGACAACATCGCGAAGGCGGGAAAAGGAAGGAAGTGGTCTTCACTTCTTCGGATAGGTGTACAACAATGAGTAAGACTTGCAGGCGTATTGTCTAAGACATGTTCACAACGTCGCTAGAGCGATGCTGTTTCCACACATTGGTATGATGCATATGCACGCTTTGGCCATCGCCAGACAGCTATCTTAAGATCACACGACGGCAGAAACAAAAAAATATGAGCCATAATCGATATGCCATGGCGACCACAGACATTTTACTGTCTGTTGGTGACTGAGAGTCGTAACCTGGTCTTAGCCGGGGTCTCCACGATGCTCACCACCAGTAAGCACCTGGGAAATGACCTCTGAACGACCTCTGAGGAAAAACGTTGTCGACTCATCAACGCCCACATGAACTACTTGCCAATTCTCAAGTTATTTTTGCTGCTGTGCTGTCCTTGAGCTTGTTTGTGGTGTTGAGCCTTTTTCTCATGAGCTTACGTACCTTGCGGCGGATGTTATTATAGCCTGACATGAAATAGTTGCGGCGAGAACGAGAGCGGGACTTGCTTCACCCGTTCTTTCCCACCGTAAGTGTCGTAAACATGTAACGTCCAAGTCTTCCGCCACTGACATGTGACGCGCCTCCATTCAGAGCCTCGACCACGACCCGTGTCACGTGACTGTCAGCATGCGCCACTTCCATTCAATATCAACGAGACGCGAAGCCGCCGGCCGGGAGAGAACAATGGCCTTCCATGGCGGCAGCGCGAGCAGTGTGAGCGCTCGCTCACGCCGCTGGAGCACGGCAGCCAGCGGTCACCTGGCGCGGCCGAAGCCAAGGCGACCCGGTCATGGCTAAGGATGGGGTGGGAGCGATCCCGGGGATCCGACGGGGCAGCCTGCCGGTGTTGTGGTGAGCAGAGTCAGCCGCGTAATGAGCCTTTGTAGCAACGCGTTCGGGACGGCGCTGAGTGTGTGGCCTAGTAGCTCGGGAGTATTGTGTTCAGACGCTGAGTGTGTGGCCTAGTAGCTCCGGAGTATTGTGTTCAGACGCAAGCGGGAAAACTCCATTCT